CATGAGCGTTTAGGTCTGTGCACATGAGCGTTTAGGTCTGTGCACATATAGGTGTGTGCACGAGTGCAGGTGTCCTCAGAGGTGTCCAGATCCCCTGGAGCTGGAGTTGTAGGCAGTTGCAAGCTGCTGATGTGAGTGCAGGGAACTGAACTAAGGCCTTCTGGAAAAGAGCAGAAGGAGCTCTCAACTGCTAAGCCATCTCCCCAGCCCCTCCCCGTCTGTATCCACCCCAGCAATAGAGAAGGGGTTCTTTTGGGTTCCTTCCTCACCAACATTTGACACTGGTACAGTTTTGACCTTAACCATCCTAATGAGTTTGTATTGACATCAGCATCTGACTTACATCACCCTGAAGGCGGATGCTGAGCCTTCCTCTTGTGCTTGGTGCCAAATCAGCACTATGTCCCCCTACTCTCTGGTGAATGGTCTCTTCATTCATTTTGTCTGTGTCCTGACTAGATTCTCTCTGAGTTTTCAGCATTCTTTTTATATTCAAGACACCAGTCACTTGTTGACTATGTGGTTCGTAAATATTTTTTCCCATTTTGGAGATTTATCAATTTTTCCTTTTTTTTTTCTAAAAGGTTCACATATTATTTTATTCCTGACCCAAATTGAGCCAATTTTGGAGAATTTGTGAGATTTACATTGGGATAGTTTTGGTTGTTTTCTTTTGCTTGTTCTGATGTTGATGACCAGTGCTGGTTGGGAGAACCGCCCTTCTGCATTTCCCAAAGCTTGGCTTAACACTGGCTTGGGGACAGGTCTAGCTGCTGTGGCTTACAGTCTCTCTGCTAACACCACACAGTCCTGATTATTACAGTTATACTGGGAGCTTCTCTAAAAGTTGTGTTGTGTTGTGTTCTGGTTGGGTTTTTTGTTGTTTTTTTGAGACAGGGTTTCTCTGTAGCTTTGGAGCCTGTCCTGGAACTAGCTCTTGTAGACCAGGCTAGCCTCAAACTCACAGAGATCCACCTTTTTCTGCCTCCCAAGTGTTGGGATTAAAGACACATGCCACCACACCAGGCCTGTTTTTACTTTTTTAAAAAATGTATGTGTATTATGTGTCTCTTTATGGTTTTTAGCAACATCAGTGCATTGCCCCAGAGGCCACTGGAGCTGGCGTCACAGTCAGATTAAGCCACCTGATAAGGGTGCTGGGGACTTAACTGTAAGTCTCTCTGCTAGAGAACGGTGGACCCTCAACCACCCGAACCATCTCTCCAGCCCTCTCTGCAAGCTTTCCTTTTGGGAAATGTGACTCCTCCCACTTCATTCTAGGTTATTTCAGGTATTTCAAAGCTTGTACCTTTCCACAAGATAATCATCTTATCTGTGTCTATGAAACAGAGTACCTCAGATTTTGACAGGACTTGAAGGAAACCCAAAGATGACCTTGGAAGATAACTGACTTTTTCTGTTGGGTCTTCCAGCCCTAGAATGTGGGGTGCCCCACACTGATTACTTCTGTGTAGTTGGGTTTTTTTTTAACTCTTGGGGGCCTGCCACCCAGCTCCCAAACAAATACATGGAAATGTACTCTTACTTATGAGTGCCCGGCCTTAGCTTGACTTGTTTCTAGACAGCTTTTCTAACTTTAATTATTATTATTCCATTTCTCTTCAACTACATTTTGCCTCTGGGCTTTTTACCTTTCTTTACTCTATGTTTTTCTTTCTTTCTTACTTTGAGGCTGACTGTGTGACTGGGTGGCTGGCCCCTGGCATCCTTCTCTCCTCCTGTTCTGGCTCCTCCTTCTTCTCTCTTCTTCAGAGTCTAGATTTCTCCTATTCATTCTATCTGCTTGGCAGCCCTACCTATCCCTCTCAGCCTCGCTATTGGTCATTAAGCTCTTTATTAGACCAATCAGGTGTTTTAGACAGGCAAAGTAACAGCTTCACAGTTAAACAAATGCAACATAAAAGAATGCAACAAATGTTCTACAGCATAAATGAATGTAGCACATCTTAAAGGAATATCCCACAACACCTCTGTTCACCAACAACCCCTCATTGATAACAACCTCACTCACACTGTGCAGTTTTTTTAGAATATAAACTATGTATATGGTTTCCTATGTTTATTTTACATACTAACTTTCTTTGCAGAGATTGTAAACAGTATTTGATATCAGCTTCCGTGCACTTATTCTTACTTTATCAGATGCACTGTCCTGATCCTATGACCTCACTGATCTTCCCGTTTGGTTTGTTTGCAGTCTTTGGGATTTTGTACGTGGATAGCCTGCCATTGAATTTTCATTTCTTTCTTCACAAGTAGCATGCCTTCTTTACTATTTTTAATTTATTCTTTGAGAACCTCATACATGCATGCATGCAATATTTAATATATATATATATTTAATTTTACCTGCAAGTATGTGTGCACCACCTCCATGCAGTGCCTACAGAAGCCAGAAAGAGTGCCAGATCTCCTGGAACTGGAGTTAGAAGATGCGGGTGCTGTCCCGTGGGTGCTGGGAAAGCTCTGCAAGGGCAGCAAGTGCCCCTAACCACTGAACCACCTTTCCAGCCCCAACATAGAATGTATTTTGATCATGTTCCATCCCCTTCCCCTCCAGTTCTTCCCTCAACCCCCACCTCACATTCTCCTCTCCACCTCAGGCCCTTTTCCAATCTGCCTTTCATCCCTTGTACTTGGTTGAGAGAGAGCTACGAAACCGCTTGCTCCTGAACTTAGAAGTTAAAGTGTTCAGGTTTTCACTAAAAGCATAACAAAATGCATAATTTTATCACAAAACACCTTATCAAACTTTTTTCTTTTGAGAGGGGGATATTTAGATTTAGTTATTGACCCATCTAAAGTGACTAAAGAGGTCTCTACTTCCTGCTTCTGTGCTGTAAGAATGACAAGTTCCCGCCGAGGTCGGTGACCCCGCAGGTGCTGGCCGTCCACAGCCTCGGTCCCCTCCCTGCGGGCGCTGTTCGCCCGGATAGCAAGCGGCTGCCAGCCTCGCCGCCTGCCAACCCTAGCTGGCGATAGGGAAGTCTCAGATACCCAAGTCCAGGGCGACGGGCGTGCCCGGGGCCTGATTTAAAATGTGTGAACTTCTGGCAGCAAGCTGTGGCGGTGAGGAAAGAGCGAGCTGCGAGGGGAGGAAGCCAGTTCAGAGATCCGCCGCGCGGGGGGTGGAGGAGGGATTGGAGAGCGCGCGAAAGCGCCGGCGAAGCGCGACCCCGCGGGCAGCCTCTCCTTTTATGGGAGCGGTACGCCGTCCGCGCAGGGCCCCGAGAGGGAAGCGCGCCCCCGCCGAGGGTGCGGCGGGCGCCCAT